GAGAGAAAACGTCTTTGATGTATCCGAAATCGTTGCAAAATCCCTGGTCAACTTTGGCGAGCATGCCAAAGTCAAGGATGGCTGCCAAGTCATGTTACTTTCCAATAGCCCCCGTCTAGGAGCTCTACCACTTCTGTTTCTCGAGTTACTAAACCTGATCTCGACTCGCACGGGGCTAACAACGCGTTATCCGTGTTGTCGTCTTTCACCCATTTCTTCATAAGATCAATTGATAGCGAGTCAGGCAAACAGCATTCGATGATATCACTCTCCAAAATATTTTGCGCAGCATGTTTTAGCAGACCACAATCCCTAAAAATGCCGAGCATGGAACAATCGGTCATCGGGAGCTGTGGTTGTTGGGCAAGAAGCAGGGTCTAAATCCATGCTCTCTAAGACAGCGTCGATGCTATCGTCAGATGTCCACAAATCGCCCAAATCTCTGTTCTGGTTGTCTCCTTCCATTACAAAGTCATCAAAATCTAATTCATCACCATGAAAGAGGTCATCATTCTCATTTCCACTAGTGTCACCGTCAGGTGTTAGAGATTCTGGCTTAGAAGTGACCGACGCTTCCTCGCGCGCAGACTTGCCCGTTCAAAGCCACTGTAAAAGTCCTCCATATTATTCATAATTTCTTCTACAAAGTTACTCCGCTGAGGTTTCCATTGATCATAGCAGTCTATCCACATCTGCTCGTCCGAGCTATGTGAAACGATGTCCGCCAAGCAGCGAAAGGGCTTGAAGAGCACCAACGAGAGAACAGCGTACTTGTAGCGTTTCTCACTTGATGCTTGTCCCTCATTGCGAGGAAAACGAAACGTCTGAAGGACAGGAACGACGTCCTCGTATCGCGTTCCTAGACATTGTGACTTGCACAACGGATGCCTGTCTAGAAAGCCCAGCCACGAGTAAATAGCATTCCCATGTTTCTTTCGGAAGAACCACATAGTGAATTCATAGAGATTTAGTTTCTCCAGCATCTTCGGGCGATAAATATAGTCGTCAAGATACGACACAGCGCGGAAATTAGATGCCGTGGCGTCTTCACTGCTATTAACCAAATTGCAACTGTAATCTTCCAATTCCATTAGCTGCCTCGTCACATCTCCAAGAGGAAGAGATGCGCTCGAGTAACAACATGACCCGTGATATAGATATAAGGCAGCCAAGGGGCCGGCAATTTCTTGTCGATTCGTAAGGTTGTAGATCATCCCAGCAACACGTGTCCGAGACATAGTTAAACGGTCTACCCCCGTCGCAGTAGTCGTATGTTCAGCATTTTCACGAGCTTCCCGACGCTTTAATGCAGCTACTGCTACTGCTACCTGAGATTCCAATTACTTCTGTGGCTTGGCGATATACTTG